TATTTTGGTCTTTTTCGCTCCAAATTTGCTCTTTTTTGCATCTTTTTTCTCCAATGACCCTATTGCATCATTCCTGCAACAAAACATAAAAAATATCTTTATTTAAAGTGCAATATCATCAAAAATAGTATAAAATAGGTATGAAAATCTCAACATATTCTCCTATGGTCAACCACCCAGGGCTAACCCTAGGCCAAACAGTCCTATGGGGACTCCTCTTGAGCTCCATTATATTGGTCCCACCTACTAAGTGCTAAGGGTTAGAACCAACATGTGGAACTTCAAGATGAGCAAAGAAGAGTTTAGAATTTCTATTGGTCAGGGGTCCATCACTAGTCCTCTAAGAATAGTTAACAGGAAAGTAATATGGCTAGATTCTAGGCTTCTAAGGAGAAAAGACTAGACCTCAACCAAAAGTGTGGTCAACAATATCATATGACAGAATTTAGGGGGGTTGTTATTTTCATGCTCTATGTCAATTTTATTACATGTTCCATGTTTAATTCATATGGCTTTTGTTATTTTCATATTTTATGTCAAGTTTATGATGTTTTGCATGTTAGAAATTTAGCACTTTTGTTATTTTTATATTCCATGCCATACATGTTTCATTTTATACAAAAATTCATAGGGCTTTTGTAGTTGTTGTTATATATTACACTTTGTGTACTGTTATTCATTTAATTAAGACATTCCCCTACTTCCCTTGCCATAATTGATAGAATCAAGCCTTACTTTCCATTAATCCGAGACTTTAAACTCTATTAATCATCAAAACATAAAGCTTAAACTTCCCTACTCCCTCATATCGTGGGTTTAATCCCAAAATTCCCTTTTAACCGAGCCTTAAAACATTAATTCCATTATATATTTTAAGTTTTTTCCTTTAATCACCATAAAATCCCAAGCCTTAAGCCACACATTCACCAAACTGTGAGCCTAAAGTCCTATTTCCCTCATAACCGAGCCTACAAACCTTAATTAAATTCTAATCTTAAATTAATTCTCTAATTCTCATAATTGAAAACCATAAGTGATCCCGGAAATATAGTTGTGTAAAATTTATAAAGTTGGCTCCGCTTTGCAACGACGCCAAAAACTTGATGTGGTATTTTATGAATAATAACGTTAAACACTTAATGTTAGGATTCAACACAAGTATATGTATCATTGTCAAGTAATATAAGACTTTTTATTTAATTCCCGAATATCGATCCCATGAGAAAGGTTTAATTTTGAAATGATAAATTGATAAATTAACTAGAGATAAATTAACTAGAAAATTCACAGAAGTAAAACGAAATTACTGTCACTAATTTTGAATGTTTAAGATATTATCAAAGTTAAATTATTAACTAATGGCAGAATTTAAATACAATGTTTAAAATAATAACTACTAAACTATATTTATGTGATAAAATTTTCTAATATGAAAAAAATATCTTTCACACTACAATGAGTTTTTGGTGAAATGAGATGAGATAAATGGTTTAAATTTGTATTGTACCAAATAGGAGCAATTTTAATTCTCTACCCTGATTCAGTGTTATAGAAAATCATTGGCTAATCTTAGGTTTAGTCCATAAATCTGTGCCTAGGCTAGGAGGATACTGGCTCCCACTCCAGAGCTCCAAATTCCCTTCCCCTGAAGTCTAACGCTCGCTTTAGTTCTTAAACACTGAGATCAAATTGAGGATTTTTAGTTTATCACCATAGAAATCTCCAATTCTACACCCAACAATGTATATTTTCCTATTTATTTGTACTTAATTCCATGAATGAAACACTTCTTCATGGACTTAAATGTGATTCTCACTCTGTTGTAGAACTCATACACCATTTTCTGGATCATATGCTTCACAACATATTTTAACAATTCAATTGGCCAGATCGAAAAGTAAATTAAAAGCGGAGTTGAAAAACGATCACAATTTATTTTATATTTTAACATTGACACATCCAAATTATCTCTTCATTTCACCATATCTCACAGTAGAGAGAAAGATAAAGGAAACTACTCAGACTTCATGAGAAAGATACAACAAAATACAAATTTCATATATAAAAGGAAGTTCATACAACAATAATAAACAAACAACACTTATCTAAAACTCTTTCTCAAAGCAAATCCCTTGTAGCCTTTCTTAGGAAATGTAAGAAGAAGAAATCTCTCACTTCTCTTTCTCTCCAACACTTCTTAGAGAAGAATTCACACTTAAACTCACCACAAAAACTCAAAACTATAAATAAATTAACTCACTAATGGTGTAAAGTGGTGTCGGTCGCCATGCGACTGGGTACAGTTTTAGTTTAGCGTAATATAGTGTTTAGAAATTAGGTATTTTAATTTGAAGAACTGATCCCATTGACTCCTACAGTTTGGATAATCGAGCTAACCACGAGTAAACCACGAGTAATGTACCACCCTGAAAGGTCTACCCTGAAAGGTAATACAATACTTGATAATAAGCTCAATTAAATAAACTATAGAAATAAATGACTTCTGTTTGATCTGCAAGTTTGTATGATGACTGACAGATTCCCCTATTCAATATGGGAGTCAAATAGGGTTTATTTAAGTCTGGGTTCTTTTAAGTTCCCTATAAGGGCAAGCCCCTATAGTTAATTACATCTTAAGCGAACGGATCACTTAAGAAAACTCTCGATAAAAATCAGGAATCTTTTGTTTTCATGAGTTCAAAAGGAAGAGTTTTCAACGAACATGATTGTGAAATTTTTAATATGGATTGGTTCAAAGGTGAAAGATTTTGTTTTAAGAATTAAAGGAAGAAAAATAGGGGAGATTAAAGATCCAGAATAGGTTCTTGGTAATCCCCCAAACTATCCTAATGTTTGGCTCAATTTAGGATGATATTAATATAATTTAACTCTTGCTAGTTTTATTAATTATGACTTAGATTTTTGTAATGATGATTTACACAAAAAGCCTAGAAAGATAAGAGGTTTTACGTCGAGTGACTACATCAGAATCCTAAAATAAGTTAGGACATGCCGCATATCAGGATATCAGAACTATGCAGGAGCATAAAAAAAAGAGAGGTTTTATGTCATAAAAGACAACTTCAGAATCCTAAGGATTGTTATTTAAACTAAAGAAATGGTCCATGATTTTTTCCCTTTACAGGTTTTTCATGTAAGAACTTTTGGTGTCATTACTGGTTATTTTCTTTTACCTGAGTCTGTGGTAAATTCACGTGCAATGTAAGGGGATAATCCATTACTCTACCGTCGCAAATTTTATATATTCTTGTTGTTGTTGCTGTCATTTTCGTCTCTTATCATCATTGTCAGTTGTCATAGTTTCATGAACATTCTTTTTATATTCATAAGAGGCCAAATTAGCAACACACTTTACAATCTCAATTTTTTCGAGGGGAAGAACAAACTTTTGTGACTTTTATTTATTAATGAATTATTTTATTTGCTTTAAACATCATTATTTTTTTCTTTCTTAAATTATGTATAACTTCTTTTTGTGTTGTGAATTTTTCTTACTTTTATGAGTGCAAATCATTGTGTAATACTCAGATAATAAATTCCCTTATTTGAGCTTTATGAGTGCAAATCATTGTGTAATACTCAGATAAGAAATTCCCTTAAACAACAAATATTTTCACCGTCAAAAATAAATTTGTCATTTATATCACTATAATCAGAGACAGAACCCGCTCTTTTTTTTTGTTGGAGGGAGCACATGCGAAACAATTGCCGCCCCTGAATCCTACCTGGGTCCGTCCGTGGCTAGAGTAGTAGAAAACAATTTATAAACTTAAAGGAACCAACTAATTTCTATAATTTATAATATAACTTAAATTAGCATGAAGTTCAAATTTAAAATTGACATGCGATGGCTGTAGTTTCTTAATAATATAGTCGTAAAACTCTTGATTGAAAAATAAACATATTTTTTAAATAATGATGAATATTATGAATATTTTAAAAAAAATAAGAATTTAATTTTCTTCCAAACATCATAATTTACAAAAATCTGATTTTTACAAAAACTCAAAACAACAAATCTCAGCAAAACGGAATGGAGTCATGTCTCACAAGTCCTGTTGACAGACCGAAAGAGTAACCCCACCGATAAATGGCACTCCTGGCTTCCATCCGGGAAAGGTACAAAGTACCAAAGAACGTTATATTGCGAATTCAATCAAAATCATCTGAACCCCAGCCAGAGTTGTTGGCTGAGTTTTTTCTCTGATTTCGAGACCCACGTTCGAATGTAACTAACCCTTATTCTTTAACTTAGATTACGATTAGCGCCAAGCATTGTTTATTAAACGAACAACATTGATTGCTTTCTCGTTCAGACCCCTTGATCCGGTAATCCCCAGCAGTTACTGAGCACCACTTAACTCCTGCCACGTTATCTTCCTCTTAGCAGCACTCAGAGGACATGATACCATCGGATTCTTATTTTTGATTTTGCTTATTAGTTATCGCCTTAAAAAGAAATTCATTTAAATAATTTAGGAAGAAGACGGGAGGAAGAAGGAAACCTCTGCTCTACTGGCAGTGGGCAGGAGGAACCAGCTGTGCGCTTCCTTTCCTCAAGTTCTGTCCTTTTTTTTAATCTTTGTTGGCTCTCAGGAGAGCGAGAGATAGAGAGAGAAGTGTTCTCTTTTGGCACTGTATGATCTGTCCAAACCGATTCTTTTAGTTATCTGCAAGGAAGGAAAGGAGGGGGCTCTGCTCAGATCTAGAGATCTTTCGACAGGGAGAACAACAAAAGGTATCGGCCTATTGATGGCTGAAACTTGGATTTGCTTGTTTTTCAGTTGCTGGATTTTATCCTTTTTTTTTTTAATTTTGTTTTTAAAGTTCTTCAATTTTCGTTTTCTGTTTAACAATTTATCCTTTTTTTTTATCACTTTGCTTCCGGTCGTCTTTGTATTTTGTTGTCTGGAATATTTGAAAACCGCGATCTGGTTTGCCTTCCTCGAAAAATGCGATTTTTCAGCGCTACGGGGCTATTTCTTGGGGATTGGGAATGATTTGAGTTAATTCAGTACTTTATACTTATTTTTTTTTCCATTTCCCACATGTTACTCTTCTATTTACCCATTTAAGCTTTTTTATTCCTCTGATTACGGAAATCTTACTGCAAACGTTGATCTGTCTTGCTTTCCTTCAAATATGCGATTTTTCGGCGCTTTTGGTCTTTAGCTGCGGATCTGCAGAGGGCGATGTCTTCGGGATTTGGTGTAATCTTACTGCAAACGTTGATCTGTCTTGCTTTCCTTAAAAAAATGCGATTTTTCGGCGCTTTTGGTCTTTAACAGCGGATCTGCAGAGGGTGATGTCTTCGGGATTTGGTGTGATTTGAGCTGATACAGTTCTTTTCATTGCTGGCTGAGTGTAGACTAATGAGATAGGAGAAGAGGTGGAAGAAATGGGAAAGAGAGGGAAGAGCTGGTTTCGCGCCGTCAAGAGGGTCTTCAGACGAGAATCAAAGGAAAGGAAAGATCAGGTTTTGGATTATGGCTTTTCCTGTTTATAGAATTGATTTAGTTTTCAATTACTAACAATGTGGTTTCTGATCTAACATCAATATTCTTCTGTTGCTTTCCCACAACCAGCAATCAAAGAAATTGGATCCTGAAAGGCCCGATCATTCTGATCCATCATCTTATGAAATACTGCCAACTGTTTCTTCTGATGTACCTCTCCCTCCTCCTCCTGCTCCTCCTATTCCTCCTGCGCCTGCGTCGGTAGAGGTGAAATTTGCGGAGCCAGAGCTTGAGCAGGGCAAGCATGTCCACTCTATCGCAAATCCCAGTACGACTGCAGCTCAGTCCACAGCGCATGTTGTCCAGCTTGATAGTTCGACTAAATTTGCTGACAAATCAAGAGAAGAAGGCGCAGCAATCAAGATCCAGACCGCTTTCCGGGGATATCTGGTATTGAAACTACAATACTTTACCTCGTGTCAGTGCTTTTACTCGGTCAAAATTCAGCATTTTATATCTTCTTTCCTACTGATGTGTCATTTTGTTAATTCAGGGATATCACGTTCTGGAGCTGTGATTTTTCTTATATAAATGAAGAATTTTATTTATCAATTATTAGTAAGAATATTTTTCTGTTTTGTTGATGTGCTACTCGGTGCTATCATGCTAATGAATTGGTCAACGTTGAAAAACAAAATAATGTGAGAAGGTTGGCTGTCACCAAGATGCCTGCCAACTTGTTTTTGTTTTTATTTTCTTATTTTATTTGTTCTTGCTTCTTAGAAGATAATGCCTTGATTTTATTGCTAGTGATAAAATACTCTTCTTGGATGTTACAATATATTATCCAAGGTTTGCTTCTTTTGCTCTTGACTGTGAATATGTAATGTTCTACAGAAATAAAATTGTGGCTGGCTTGCTTAATTATATGATTGATGGGTGAGCCCCACAACAAATGGATTGAATAATTAGCACCCAAATGACCATATACTGATATATTGTATGTGGGTATTCCTGTATTGTTCTACTCTGGAAAACATATCAGTGAATTTCAGATCTCCAGTTTGGTCTTTCGATTTGATGCACTTCTCACATATATGAACATAAGTATTCACATGTAATGGAGTTGGAGTTCAGTCATCTGTAGCAAAAACTGATTTTGAGTTTATTTTCAGTAAACTGCAATTTCTTTTTGTTTGCATTAGCTAAGGGTGCTTTCTTATATGTAATTGATTACCAATGCATTAACTTGGAACAAGAGAAATAGCAAAATTCTTTTTTTAAGGCTTTTAATCCAATTGAAGATATTAACTTTTTTGATTTACTCTCAATTTAAAATTTGTCCTTTAATGTGATAATGGAGTTAGTAAATGCTTATTTATGATATCTCCTAGGCAAGACGAGCTTTACGGGCATTGCGGGGATTAGTACGATTGAAGTCACTTATTAATGGAAACACTGTCAAGCGCCAAGCCACGACCACATTACGTTGCATGCAAACTCTAGCTCGAGTTCAAGCACAAATTCGTTCAAGAAGGTTGCGGATGATAGAGGATAACCAAGCTCTTCAGCGCCAACTTCTGCTTAAACGTGAAAGAGAACTTGAAAATATAAGGGTAAATGTCTGGCACTAGAAGCATTATTTGGTGTTATTTTTATTATAATCCAAGTAATTTGCACTTTACTCATTTTGCATTAAAAAGATTCATTGTAATTGTTTGCTACCATTTTGCGCAAGCCTGACATTCAATTTAACATTTTATCTACTTATTATTACTCAAAAGAATTATCACTTCACTTATTATTACAAATTAAGGAATTTGCACTTCTTTCATTTTCCAATAGAAAAGATTCTGTGTAATGATTTTCCACTTTTTTACACCAGTTTATCAGTCAGGTTAAATATTATATCACTGAAATTAATGTCATTAAATTTTATGATTATACATTTTACTTTCTACTCTTGCAAATGAAAATAATAAATTCAGATGAGAGCAAGATATGCAGAGAAAATTCCTATTTGCATAGCATTAAATACACCTTTATGGTGGTTCAAATGACAATTTCTGCTACTCATTGAGTATATGATGAGATTAGTCATTTTGTTTTGGTTAGAAGGTTACAAATGTTAGTGGGTTTCTATGTGATGAACTTATTGAAAATATATTCAATCAAGTTTGCAAAACTTGTATTAACAGTGTTGCATCTCTTTTAAGCATCCGTGTTAGTTATACTATTAAAAGATAGTTTTTTAACGAACTTACTCTCATGGCCATTTGTGTTACTTGCAACAGCTGTGATGAAAAACATAGGTCTTTTAAAATGGATTAACATTTGTTGGTAAAATTTTCAATGTTTGCATGTGGATTCTGCCTTGTTTCTTTGATAAATATTAGCAATCAGGGAACCTAGGAAAACCTCCCCCTTTATCTCAACCAATTTTTTTTTGACTGAATCATTCTTATTCATTTATATCTATTGATTTCTATATTAAATTTAATTCTATTTTACTTTATACTTTTTATTTCCAAAAAATTCATGTTTATTCTATTTCCATGGCTTATTATGACATCTATTTTCCTTCCGTATAAGCCTTAACCACATACTAAGTTTTCATTTTTCTTCCCCATATCCGACACAAGCACAAGTTTTATATTGTTGCATGGGTGGTCTTTTTATTTCCGCTATAAAAACTCATAAACTTTAAGCTTTGAGTATGAAAATTTTGTCTCGACCTAAATAGTAGCTCTCTATAACTGCAGCAGTTTTCTGCTTTTACGTTTCATGATAGCTAATGAAGAGTTTTGGGGACATCCAAATGCTTTTAGTAACATAATTTGCCTTTAATAACATGTTATATCTGTGCACTTATAAGACCACATAATTTTGATGTTTGTGATGTGCTTTTTTAATGCAAGGGGTTCATTTTACTGACTGCAGCAATACATGTTTTATTGTTTTATGTTCATTACCTTGATGAACTATGTAATGGAGGGTAGGAAGAAAAGAATGGGGAGCATTGTGGTGGAAAAGTAAGGGGTCCATTATATCTCTAATTTGGGTATTTTTATGAAAATTTATCTTTAGCATCATTAGCTCGATATAGAATATTTAAGATCTTCAGCATTGTGAATCCTCATTTTTTTATTCTAAGGGGTCCATTATATCTCTAATTTGGGTATTTTTGTGAAAATTTATCTTCCGCATCATTAGCTCGATATAGAATATTTAGGATCTTCAGCATTGTGAATCCTCATTTTTTTATTCATTTCTATTGAGTGTTACTCAAGTTGCTAAACTATTAAAGCTATTTTTCACAAATTATTTTTATTCCATTTATTTAAGTTTGTTCTACTCATTTTTTTTCTAATCCTTCAGCACTAATTTTATCAACTTGTTTGCCTAGTATATTTTCTTTCATTTACTTTAAATGCCTTGGCCACCTATGCATATTTCAATCACTGTATCATCAATGTTTGTCACTCCAATCTTTTATCTGATGTATAAATTTTTTTATTTTTTTTCTTTATAGTTTTGCCATTTATTCTTCTAAGCAATCTAATTTTTTGTCACACTTGAGTTATATATCAATTAATTTTTACAGCCCAATATTTGAAAACACAAATAGTTAGTATAGTTTTAATTTTATAAATGTACATTTTAGTCACTATGATATTATTTTATCACATAAACTTAGGAGAGACTTCAATAACCCATCATTAACTATACAAGTTCTATCATCTCCTACATCTACATCCATTCTTCTTTTACTAGATTCTGGATATTTAAATAACTAGATATTTTCTTATCTTCTAATAATATTGAATGATAATTGTTAATATCATATATACTAAAAGTGCATTATTATTTTTTTAGTCTTTGTTCTACTGGATTTAAGGAATCAATCTGTTAAACATTTTTTATTGCTCTATTTTTTTGCTTAATTAAGCTAATTTCTTGCTTATTATAATCACAAGAAAGCTCATTTTGAGTATTCCTTTGAAAGCATTTGCATAATCATCAGAGAGATATTTGCTCAATGCTGATCTTTGATGTAAACTTATGGTAATTAGAAACTGTTGGATTGCACCGTAACTAATTCTAGTACTGGTTGATACTCTGTTATACATGTTTTTAATAATGACAACATATATTTCACATACATTTCTACCTTGAACTACATCAGTATGGTACTCATGGAAGTTTATTATATATCCTTTCAAGATAAGCAATAGTCATTTGAAGATCATTTTTTTTTTGTTCTCTACTTTTTCATTATTTGTTTTAACAATAAAACAAAAAAAAAGATGTTTCTATATGAGTTCTTTTGCATGACAATGGTTTGATTCTACAAAATTGATGCATTTTTCTTTAGCATACGCTCCATTGCTATCTCCTAGAACTTCATTGATTCACTTATAAGTTTAATTCATTTAAAGTTTTGGTAATCTTGATCATCCCCTTTGTTTTTAAATATTAGTATCAAAATAGTTTTTCTCTAATTCTTGATATCATATTAATATTCAAAGTTTTATTTTAAAATAGTGTTCTTTAGATCATTGTCATATTTTCCACAACACTTCATATCTTAATATGTATCTCCTCTGGATCTAAAGTTTGTATATGTTTAGAGTTAATTCCAATTCATTTTTTTAAATTAATCTATAACATACTTTATTATATTGTTTGCTATGGTCTTCTAAAATAGTTTTGTCCATAAAACCTATACCTTTAGTAATTTCTCAAAACAATATTTTCATTGTTTTTGATGTCTTTATTTTTATCTAAGATCATATTATCTTTACTTTTAATGTAATTAAGTTGATAAAAATAACAAAAGCTTTTATATTTATCTCATATTTTTTTATGCATCTAATTTTCTCTTTTTTTATTACCAAGCCTATAACATAAATTATAAAAAATTGTTTTTTCTTACTCCATGCCTTTTAGTGCAAGGCTTCTGACTTTCTTCTATTCATTATAGCTTCAATAATCTTCAATTTTTAAACTTTCATGAGCATTTTTCCTTATTTTATCTCCTCACAGTCTCCTTAATGAGTTCTATGGTCTATTTCAAGGTTCTTTTAATCTTCTCCAATCCTCTTAATGGAACAATGTTGTCCCGTATTAGATTTGACTGAACTAAAGAATTCCATATACCTCTCCTAGCAATCAATCTGAAAGATTTTTAATTTTTACCTTATAAATTCCATCTCATATCTTAGTGGCCTACTTTGTTTACTGTTGTCTTTTTATATGAAAATTACTGCTACAAGTTTAAGCTGGGTCATTCAGGTTTGTATTGTTCAAGCTCCAAGGTACAGTCACATAATATAAAAAAGCCTTCTATTAATTCCAAATAACTTTTGAAGAACTGCAGAACAAGTTTCATCCTACCTTGAGAAAATTACATTGCCTACTTTTTCTCAAGTAAATTAGTTTCATCCGAAGATGTGTTCTTATAAGAACTCAACTAAAATTTCGTTTACCTTAACTCCAATTTGCTGGCAGATGAGCGAGGATTGGGATGACAGCACTCAATCCAAAGAGCAGATTGAAGCGGGCCTTTTAAGCAAACAAGAGGCCTCCATCAGAAGAGAAAGAGCACTGGCTTATGCATTCTCTCATCAGGTATTTCTCCTCTTCCCTACCCATTCACTTTTAGGCTTCCACAGCGCTTTCATTTTCTTCAAATGTCTCATCAAACAGTGGAAGAACTCTTCAAAGTTAGTTAATCCCACCTTCATGGATCCAAACAACCCCCATTGGGGCTGGAGTTGGCTCGAGCGGTGGATGGCTGCAAGGCCATGGGAGGGCAGGAGCACCGCAACTGATAAGGAACTCAACAGCGATCGCGCTTCCATGAAGAGCACCAATGGCGGCGAGATCATTAAAGCCTATGCTCGTCGAGAAACCAACCTCAATGGAACGGCTGCTGCAGCCTCACCTAAGAAATCATTGCACACTCTTAGCCGACAGTCGCCGGCCACTCCCGGCTCCAAGTCCTTCACAGGAGCAACTAAGATCAAATCTGCAAGCCCCAAAATCAACTGTGCTCCTTTAGATGATGACTTGAGAAGCATGATTAGCTCACAATCGGAGCGACCGAGACGACACAGCATAGCTGCATCGTCGATCAGAGATGACGAAAGCCTTGCAAGTTCACCAGCCATTCCGAGTTACATGGCACCAACAAGGTCTGCAAGGGCTAAGACCCGGACGCAGAGCCCGTCGACTGATAGCAAGATTGAGACTCCTCCGGAGAAGGGATCCATAGGCTCAGTGAAAAAGAAGTTATCTTTTCCCAACTCACCTGGGCCTGTGAGAAGGCACTCAGGCCCTCCTAAGGTGGATGTCTCTGTGATTCAGGAGGCTGTTGCCTCTGCAGAACACAATGAGGTCAATGCAGAAAGCAGGTAGTAGCTACAAGAAGGTTCAGAGGATCAGGTTGGTGAATTTATTTATGCAAAAAGAAAAAAAAAGATCTAATTTTTTTGGACTAGATATCATTGGGTGGTGAATTTGTTGTATTTTTTAAGGTTTGCTTTTTTATGTTGGAACAAAATGTTTCTTATGAATGTGGGAGTTTGTTATTCAGTTATTGTACACTTCGGGTTGCTGCTGCTGCTGCTGCTGCAGCTGCAGCTGCATTGTTATTCAGTTATTGTACACATCATCGCTGCAGCTGCATTGTTATTCAGTTATTGTACACATCGTCGGGCTGCTGCTGCTGCTTGCCAATGAATAAATCTCGGAGTAATTTGATTTTTAGACTTTGGTTAATATGCACTAAAGAAAGAAATGGGTGAAAATATTATGATGGAATTTTGGTCTGGGTGGGATTTGAAAATTTATTTATATTTATTTTATGATGAGGGCGGGTTACATTTGTATTAAAGTAAATTCAAAGATTTTAAATTAGTTAAATCATATTTTATTTGCAGAGTTATGATGGCAGAAGGGTGGACCATTTTAATATTCGTGTATTGAAATAATTTCCCCAACTCAGGTTAGATGGTGTTTTTTTTTTTATAATTTATTTTAATTTTAAAATCATTCGAAACATAATTTGTTTCGTCTGAATCCAATCGAAGACCGGACCAAGTCATTAAAGTGCATTTGAAGGTTTTTGATCTGTCACTTTAATGGTCAAATAACATCCAAATTTGATATATTTGTATTTGAATCGAGTGCCTTGATAAGAGAAAGCTAATGAGCATAAGCTTGCTTTTTTGAGTTCATTAAGGTCTTCAAATCATTAAACAAATCACCTTTGATCAATGAGGATAAATGTGGGTCGTTTGATTTGGTGGTTATGGAAGTTATTCTCCAAGGGACTAAAATTCCCCAACCTCATAGGCTATAGATAGACCCCATCTCTTCACTTAAGATGGTGTTGTGGGGGTGGGTGTGTAAGAGAATGAATTCAAAAACTTGTTCTGGATTGAAGTCCCAACGATATTAGTCCTCGTAGCCGCCGACTGTCGTTGACTACCACTCATGGCTATTGTTGACCACCATTGACTGCTTATGCTCCCCATTTTCAGTGACCCTTGATTGCTAATATTATATCTCAAATACAACGGTAACATACAATGCTAACTTCGTATTCCAAAATTGTTGACCACTGTTTAACACTGCCAGTTGGCCTCCATCAACCTCCCGAGCTTGGTATTATCAGTGACCCCTACTTGCTAACTTCGTATTCCAAGCGTAACATGCAATGTAGTATTAAAGATCAAACAATAACTTTCGGTCACTGTGGACAGCTAACGCTATTTCGGGCACTAATTACATCATCTTTCGCCTACAGAAGCTATTGCAATCATTAACAAATCGCCAGCTGATGTTATTACAACTTCAAACTAAAGCCTCTGTGACAAATTGACACTATTACGATCACCAACACAACCTTTGTGACCAAATGATGCTAAAATAGCTTCCAATCAACTTATGTGGCTAACTTACATTATTACAGTCACTGACTACGACTTTTGTGGCCTATTGAAGCAATTACAACTTCTACAACTTATGTGGCCAACAATAGTTGTTAAAACTACCTCCTATGACATGTATGACCAACTACCGTTATTACACCCAACGACTACAACAATTATGACTAACTGCTACCTTGTAGCAACTAACGACCTTTGCAGTAAACTATTGCTATTACAGTCAAGTACCATATTTGTTGTAGCCCAATTATGGTTGTTATAGTTAAACTACTATTGTACATTTGTAATTATTAACTCTGTAATTTCATCTTCTCTAATTCATGAGGAGAATAACTCTTTGTTCTTACAGACACAGTGAATTTTTTTAGGCTGGGCCTCGTGCTTTGTTTTCCTTTAGAGGGTTTTTTTTTCACGTAAAATTTTTGTGTCTCCTCCTTCTACTATTCTATTATCTCTGAAATTTTTTTTTTCTTTTATAGAATTTGTTGAATTTTCATGCAACACTCAATTATTAAAATAGCACTCTACTACTGCAAATTTTATGACACACAATACAACTAATGTAACCTATTATAGTCTAATAGTTTGGAACTTTAGTTCCGGCAGTAAAGATTAAAAATTTGACCATTATGTGTGTTTGGGAAGTATGTAAGTTTACAATTAAATTAAGTAAAATTTTAAAATAAAAATTAATGCAAGCTAAAATATATAGTGTTTGTTTGGTTGACAACATTTATGATGCATTGCATTCCAATTCCTTGCATTTTGAAAAAAAAAAAAACTAATTATGTAAAATTGCATTGTATTTGAAATTCAGCCTTTAGTTCAAGTTCTTTGAATTTGAAATTCGTTTGATTTGATCAAATTTCAAATCCATAGTTTAACGTAAATTGTTGTTGGGCGCAACAGCTACTCGTTTGTCACTGCCACTATTGCACGAAGCAGCCGTCGCCACCACCACAATGGCCACCTCCATCGTCAGCTATCTCCGAGCACCACCTCCTCCACCAGGCACCCCCATCCACCGTGGGGCGCCGCCGCTTCCGCCGACAAACATAATATTACTCCTGTATTATATTTATTTTACCATTCATCATTTTTGCGCACAATGAACTCAACCCAACTATGGTTGGGTTTTGGTCTCACCATAAATGTCTCAAATTCGAAGCATTAGATATGCGCATGATTTTTAGATTAAATTCGCTCAAAATCCTCGAGAGAAATAAAAAAAGTTCAGCATCAAATCAGCTAACCATGAACAGAGACCTGCTAAATGAATTAAATAACATGTCAATTAAGATGGCTCTGAAAATCAGCATTTGTGGGCATTTATTCACATGCAATATCATCAACATTGAAGATTGTATTAATTTTTTTTTATTTTTTGAATAAAAGTTGAATCTAATTGTGAACTAGGTTATAAAATAATAATTATAATTTGTTTTGAACTTAAATCTCTTAATTACTTCGTAAACATTGCACTTTAATTAGCTATCTTTATCAGTCATGAATCCTCTGAGGTCACGAGTTCGAGCCCGCCTTAGTGCATCTGCTTTACAACGTAGGATCGAGTGTTTAGACATATGAGATTGGTTGAGGGCTCGTATCAAAGCCTCCTGCCGAGCCCCCAACCAATCTTAATAATAATAATAATAATAAATTATTTTTGTCCATTAAGTTAGATATCAATAGTTAAGATATATTTGGAATATAAATCTTCTACTTGATAAAAAAACCCTACCAATTCCCAAGTAAACCTTACACAATAATTAGCTACCTTATATCTTGTTACCCTGAGCTGTAGCAATTACTCTCGCAACCCTTTCGTAATAGAAATGAGCTGCCTTGCATTTAATTCCCATTGCTTTTCGCGTGACTCGCGAGCTGTTATTTATTGCAGAAAAGTCGCTATCAATTTTATTTTTTAAAAAGCAAAATTATTTCCCCCCCGCTGAATGATTATTGTTCTTTTTCAGATTATGGCATGAAGCTTCCTTGAACTCTCACGAGAAACAAGAAACTAGCGCTGTCAAATCAGTTCGTTTTCGTGTTTAGTTCGTTAAGAAGCTCATGTTCGGCTCGTTAATTTCGTTCGATAAGTTAACGAACCGAACACGAACTAAGATGTGTTTGTTCGAGCTCGGCTCGTTTTGGCTCGAAATACTACTCATCAAGTTTATATATATAAAAAGTAGAATTTTAAAAAAAATCTAATTGACTGCAAGGCTAGAAAGATTTATAATCAATTAAAATATTGATTAAGAAAATAGAATAAAAATTATTAAATTAGACTCAAATGATGTTTTTATATAAATAATAATTTTTAAATCTTGCTCAAACCCTTATTATCCTACGGCTACATGATTAGGGTTGTTCAAATGACTCTTTGTTCGTGACCAGCTCGTGTTCGGCTCGTTAAGCACGAACACACATTTTAAGCTCGAAATATAAACGATCCGAACACGAGCTGGGCTTTATAGCAACTTACATTTCCAACAGGGAAAACGCTATAATAAATACTCCCACATCTAGCAAAAATCATTGCTGCTCTTATCCTCTTTTCTCACCATCAAATAAACGGCAATAAAAACCCCAACCATCCAACGCTATAATTTGAAAACTAGGTCCTGGATTCATACATGAACTTTCGGTGGGAGGAGTATAAAAATGATGATTTTTTCATTGACAGGGCTTTTTTCCTGTCAACTGAAGCGTAGAGAACTTCTAGAGAAGGCTGGAGAAGAGCAATCAAGTGCTTGTGATTGAAGAGAAGTGAGATTTGAGAGAATGTGAGAGACTTTATGGCTGTATCATCATCAGCTTAAGTGTGAAGAAAGAGAGATAAGTATCTTGGAGTATTTTGTGTGATTTATTATCATTCATCTATGGAAGACTTTTTGTGTTTGAAGCATGAGTAGTGAGTAGCTTCTTTTTCTCCCTTGGAATGGGGATGTGGGATTGATGTGCGTAAAAGTTTCTATATGGTTTCGTGTTAATTTAATATGATGATGATTAACCTTCAATATTTTGTTTACTTTTTCATTCTGGTCAAGTGAATTGTTAATACTTGTCGTTAATGATGAAATTTGGATGAGTTCATAGTGGAACCGACTAGGTTAATCACATTAAATAAGGGGAATAGGGATATATTCTCTAGGTTAATGCAAACTTCATGGGAAGAATTAGTGGAAATGACTAAAACCTAAATTAGGGAACAAATCTAAGCTTATAACCAAGCTTCCTTAGACTGTCGGGAGGGGGTAAGGAAGAATGATGCTCATGTTTGTCAACTATTTTGTAAACATACTTTCATACTCATTTTTTATAAAACCATTACAGGGGAGAACTTTTTTAGCAATTGAAAAAGTTGTAATAGCATAGCATCTTCTTAACTTTATAACCTAGGACTGGACATATTAGGATAATCACCGATCATCATTTCAGGATGGGATTGTTGACTATAGGCTAGAACGTTTTCTGTTTTGATTCATCTCATTCCCTGCATTCCATATAATACTAATACACCACGTATACTTGCATGAGCCGCCTGTGCTTCACTGCACCTGAAGCGTGTCAATCATTTCCCCAACAAAACCCATATTAACAAACCTATCACATATATCCCTGACTCGCCCACCTTCATTTTTCA